CCTGCCCTGCCCTGCCCTGTGTCTGCATGTCCCGCAGGTCACCGCCTGCCCTGTGCTGCCACTCCAGTGCACTTCACTATTTTTATACTATTTTGGTACTGGGTGAAACATCCTACTTCTGTGGCAGTGGAGAAGAGTGTCTCTTTAGCTGAGCTCTGTTCTACCCTTTAGGTAGAACAGATTAGGTTCTAATTAGGTAGTAAAAGTCACGCCCCAGTCTGCCCTGGGAGAAAGCCCTTTACTACCTAATTAGGTAGTAAAGGGCTTTCAGTCGCTTTTGACCAAATGGGACCAAAAGTTCAGATTTGTCCTTTTAGAGGCGTCTCCAGTTGTATGAAATGTGGCTCTTCCTCAGGTAGTCTGAGCAGGCCGCTGTTGAGGCGGGGCTGCTGGTCAGGGACTGGTTCAGGCGCAGGGCCAGTAAGGGGTTGGGGGTCACCGTCACTCACACAGAGTCTTGCTCTTTCTCCTCCTGCCTCGCCCCCCCCACCCCGCGGTTCTCGATCCAGCCTGCACACCTACGCAGCGATGATCCGAGGCGCCGTGCTCAAGACCATGAACGAGACCCGGGTAAGAGTCGCCCCAGTGCTGACCCTCGACCCCCATGTGGACTTGGGGGTCCGGGTCTGTTCCACTTCCTGTTTCCTGTGTTTTGTAGTGAAGGGCTGGCGGGCGGGGGGGGTGGCTGAGTGTCCAGGCAGGTGTCTCCGCAGCTCTGGGCTGCGCTCGCCGAAAGAGCGTCTCGGCCGTCCTGTGCTGGACTGCGCCCTGCTGGAAGAAGTGCTTCAGCTGAGCTGAAAGACTCTGGGCCCCCCACGTGTTCACACGCCCCCCCGCGCGCTGACATCCGCACCCTGCTTTTGACTGTGGCCTGTTGTTTCCCCAGCTGCACACGGCGGATATCGGGGGTCAGGGCACGACCTTGGAGGTGGTCCAGTCCATCATGAGGCTGATTCAGAGCAACGGACCACAGACCACCCTAGCCTACTGAGTCCGCAGGTAACACTGAGCCTCCCTGACCACACAGGGGGCTCCACCTGAGCCTCCCTGACCAGGCTAGTGCTGCCCCCTGCACACAGGCCGGGAGTCCTGCCCCACTCTCTCACTCTGCACCTCTCCACTCTTCTTCCAGGAGGAGGGCTCTTCGACAGCAGTCTTCGGAAGACCCCGTCGCCCACAGCGTGTGTCTGTTTCTCCTTGCTGCTCAAACCTGTTGTCTTCTAAAGTCGTCTCGGAGAGACGGGGCTGCTGGGGGGGTTTGGGGCTCCCCCTTCCCCCCCACTCCCCTGCTCTCCCGGGCCTGGCTGCAGGAAGCACTTTGCCGATGAAATCCTTCGCTTCCTGTACCCAGACGGACGCTCTTCCCCTGCGCTGGGACTTGTGGCCTGTTTGGCTCCGGGAGTTCTGCTCCTCCCAGGGCGGGTCGGGGAGCGTGTTGGTCCAGCCCCCGCCTCTCCCCGTCTCGGGCTGCAGGAGCGAAAGGAATTCTCCGGGAGCCGGAGGAGGTTTCCGTGCGTGCCTGCCTGCCTGCCTGGAGCGCCGGGGAGAGCGGCCGGCTCTTCTTGGTTTCACTGCGGAGCGACGGCAAATCCAGGGAGTCAGGAACTGCATCCCGTGTGGCTGAAGGCACGCAAGAGGAGAGGGGTCTCCCGTGGTCCGGCGCTGGAGCTCCACTGCTCGGCCGTGTCGGCCCTCGTGTGTACCTGTGTACTGACCGACACGCTGGCAGGTCGGTCCTGTTAGGGGATACTCCGAGACTTGTTTTCCATTCCTTACTGCCTTGGTTCCCTGTCTGTTTTGCTCCTATAATGTTTCTGCTGCAGACGTTTGGAGACAAACATCCCCAAGAACGTATGAACCCCACAACAGAACAGACCACACCAGCTGGGATGTGCTGTTCTGTTGAATGTTCATTTCTGTTTTCACAAATACTGTATGTGGCTGTTGAGAAGGGTTTTCCCCTGTTAGATGTTCTGACCATATGCTTCTGTGCCAGAATAAGATATTTATTGTGGGTTTGTGTTCATTATGAATGTTACTTCTCGCTGTTCCCTGTGCATGCTTCACGATTAAACAAGCCCTGCACTCTCCCGGCAAAGAGGAGAGTGGGCAAACCATCCATTTTGTCTCGTTTTTGCAGTAATACAAAGTCTGTTGTCCCTGCAGGAGGAGCAACTCTTAAATAGTTTTGAAAACCCTCCAGGAAATAAAGGTTAAGTAGCAGCTGTGCTTTAATGATGTGACCTTCTCCACCTCTGTGTCGTGCACTATAGTAACACTTGTAACAGCGTCACGGTGCACAGTGCTGTCGCTTAGAGCTAAATTCAGACCATTGCAGTAGCTGAACTTTCTGTTTCGGTTCTTGTTGCATAATCGTTCGTGTTCGTAACACAGCAGCGGGAGGATTGCAGGGGTGTTGTGAGTTTCTCTTCCCTCACGGTGGCACCCCCTATTGAGTTTCCAGAAATGTTGTGAGGATCACCACATCCCAGTGGCCAACTTTTACACTCGGCTCCAACCCGACAAGAACCGCGACACTGTGAAATATCCATGATTTGTAAACAGTTTTAATGCACATGATTTTTTGACGTTCTTTTTCATTACCTCAATATATATAGACGAAGCCCAGGAGTGCCCGTAGGCATGTAGTAGCTTCACGAGACCGCTGGTGTCGTTTCGCTGACTTCAAAGACAGAATGTCAGGTTACAGCTGTGACCGTTGTATCCTCAAACCTGATTCTGCCTTCGCTTTTCCTTGTCTGTGGACCCCTGTGCTGGTGTGTGACCGGGGTTTGTGATGTTTCCGGAGTGCTGTTGTGTGATGGAAGTATTTTGTACTTTTCAAAAATACCAAAAAGGACTGGAGCTCTTTAGAGTTACTGAGAGCAAAAGAGTATCTGCGCCTTATAAACTCCGTAGATCTTGATTTTATATTGGGTGGCACCGTGGCACACTGGTTAGCATTGCTGTCTCACGGCGCTGGGGCCCCGGACTCAGTTGCTGTGGTGCTGTCTGTGTGGAGTCTGCATGTTCCCCCCATGTTCACATGGGTTTCCTCCCAGGTGCTCTGCTTTCCTCCCCCGGTCCAAAGACATGCTGGTAGGTTAATTGTCTTCTGGAAAAGTTGGTCCTGGTGTGAGTGCGTCTCTGTCTGCCCTGTGTTGGACTGGCATCCCACCCAGGGTGTACCTTGTGCCCATTGCTTTCTGGGATAGGCTTGGTCTCTCCCGCCACCCTGTACTGGACAGAGCCGTTAGAAGATGGATCAACGGATGAAATGTCCCTGTGAGCACATTCTACTCCCATCATCACGAAATGGGGCATGCACAGTACTACCAAGACCGCTAGCTCAGCTCGTCTTTCCAAACTGAGCAGCCAGGCAAACAGGGTACTGGTGACAGATGCAGCTGTGAGTCTAACAATAACAACGCTGGAAGAGCTACATGATCAAATGCAGATTTCAAATGGAGTTACTGTACATACTAAGTGGTGTACTAGTTAGTACAGTGTTAAATCGCCTTAGTCTATAGCAAGACTTGTTCTAAATTAGTCCCTTAATGTAATATCCTTTAGAGGGCAGTAGCAGTGTACACTACCCACAGGATGGGCCACAGTTATTTCCCTGCTTTCAGTTGGTTGCAATAAACACTTTCAGTTTAAAAAGAAAAGTCCCTAGTCATTAAAAAGTACTTGGAGTTCTCTGGAGCATTTCTGTCCAGTTTCTCCTCCCCCTTCGTAGTGCTTTGTTTTAAAAAATCACATGGTTTTTGGAGAGCACAGAGAGCTTTTTTCCCCAAAACTAAAATGCGATTGTTATAGGGAATGAGTAGAATAAAATGTTTGCATTGTTTTTTTATTTCCGTACTTCTGATCAAGTACGACTGGGATACACCGAGACATCTGAGTAATTTCTAGAATTTCTAGTAAAACACAGCTAGAAACGGTCTTGTGTACTCATCTGAGTTTCACTGGATCCACAGCCAGTAGAAAGTGGCAGCTGTAGTAGTAAGTAAAGGGCTGTGAACTCCTCAGTATATAACAACAGTCCAGCGACATGAACATTGGTCGGCTCCTAACGACACGCTACTCAGTCGGTTCAAGGTTTATGGCTGCTTAGCTAGGGTCTTCACATTGCATGCTGTCTCAGGTCAGAGCATCGAATGGACAACAGCCCCGAGACCATGGAGAGAAAACCCACAGGGAATATAAGTTATCAGAGAGGAGACTCTTGGAGAAGAAGCAGGCAGATGTCCTCCAGATGCTCAGTGAAGAAATTAGAAGCAGAGGAGGGAGTCCATTCCAAGCTTCAAGGAACAGAGCCGTAGGTCCCACTGGTCCAATGAGGCAGCAAGGGTGCACTTCAGGGGGCAGTGGTGCTTCTGGGGGTACAGTAATGCCCCCCCTCCACTTCAATCTACCGTATGTTTCTCCTTTGCCTAAATCAAGACGCGCCCCTCTGATGAGCTCAGGCTTATCCCTGCCTCCACCGTCAGAATTGAGCCGGATGAAATATCGTAGGTGCACACCACATATCACTCATGTGCGGCCGGGCCTTGTCTCCAACCTGGCCTCTCACCCCTCCTCTGCAGCTGCAGCCATTTTTAACAGAGAAGCACCACGAATATCCCCCCTGCTTTCTCTAACACATTCTGATCTGTAAACAAATCAACTCTCCGGCCTGTGGTTTTGGAAGAAGGAGATGTTGTCTTGTGCTTAATGAATATGCTGATGCTATAACCTCCACAACGCAGGCCAGAAGGTAGACGAAGATGTCCTGATGCCTCCGGTAGCTAAATCTTAATTTAAACGGATTGTCTTGGTGTAAAATTACCAGGTAGGCGTCTAATGAAAATGTTCAATTCAGTTTGAAAGAAAATGATGTTGGAAAGGCATACCGAAGACCAAACTGATACGCTTTTAAAGGGGAGCTGCAAGACTATTTTCAAATGTCAGGGTTTGACAGAAGCAGCATTGATGAGCGCATTTCAAACCACAACGAAAGTAAAATGCAGTCAGATGTAAACCACGTGGTTTTCGGGAAACTCAGCCGTTATGAGAAGGGGGTTGTCTGTGCAGTCTGCGCTCCCAGTACTACCTTCTGTACCAGAAAAGTACCGTATTAAGCAAACTCTTATCTCACAACACGCGTTTAAACGCTTTTCACTGCGCAGGGGAACACCGGAGCCGCCGGAAAGCACCGACACCACGCCTGAGCTCCGTGAGCGTGTGTTTGAAAACACGTGACTTCTAATAAATACATCCGCGATAGAAAAGAAAGACATTCCGTCCACTTATTGTATCAGTCAGAATCCTTATATCTTAGATAAAAACTGGCGTGACGCTATGAGAAATAAAACGTCCTTTGACTTGGTTTTTCTTAGGAATTGGGAGGAATTGAATTTTAGACTTCCACAAGACCCACGAGCACGCAGCTCTGCAGGCAGAATTCCAAACTCGTACTGGGAACAACCCACTCACGAGCCAAGACTTCTGTGTTAAAGCTCTCATTCTCCCTCGATTTGTGCGCTTTGTTCAATGACATTGTTTTGGTTCCGATGTGACGTAAAAATGAGTTCTTTGAATTTTTAGCGCAGCCTGTTGGAAGGGTGTCTCCTCCCACTTGGTATATATACAGTTATAAACGGGAGAAAGTTTTCACTTTTACATCTTAGCATCTCTCGCCAGGAAGCATCGTCAGTGATACAAAATGCCTGCAACTGTTACCTGTTGTGTTGTTTTTGCAGTTGTCTGTATTGTCGCACTTGGTGTTCTATTGGCAGCGGTAAGTTATGTTTAGATATAAAACTTATTTTTTTGTTACTGGAAAAAAAACATACTCTTATACTGCATTTTGCTGTAAGTAGTGGTAAAATGTATTGAACCTGTTTTGTAAAAATGTAGTTTTTTAATTCTGTGGATTTTGATTAATTTTTAAAATGAATCTGCGCTCGTTGAAACCACTTGACTGCTCGCAGAAAAACAGCATTTTTCAGTGTATTTAGTGACCTGTTTATCTTTGTAGTGTGATACGCCTAAAATACCTTAAAGCAATTCACCTTTGCTTTTTACTTTTTTAAAAACGTTTTACATTTAAAAAGTAGCTAATCCGATTTTTTCCTACTTTTAACTTATACATTTATCGGCTTTTAAAACTTGTATCGAAAAATAACGTTACGACTGTAAGGAAAAGGGTTTATTGTTTTTGTTTATTGTTTTAAAATATTGTAGAGGCAAGATTGCCGGAAATAATTGATATTTTTTATCAGATGTATTTCTATAACCTCTCTTTTGCTGCGATCTTAGAATGCCTCCATGATTCATGAAAACAACACATACCACATGCCTGGGTTCAGTCCATTCGATAATGAAGACGAACGAAAAAAGAAGAAACCGGAAAAGTCGAATCCTACACAAGTAATTACAGGACGGAAATGGTTTATGACGAGTGCAGGCGCAGTATACTAGAAGTATACAGTACCGCGTTAGACTCACTCACACATACAGTACAGTGCCGAGTGTTAATAACCATCAGTGCACGCAAGCACTCAGTGTAGGCTGTAGCATGCAAATGCAGTTCCCAGGTGGTGTCAATTCCGCCAGGTCTCAAGACAAGGAAAAACTAAAGAATAATAAGATCACTTTATTAACCCTTTACAATTTCTTGCATTAGGAATTTGTCTTTTCACATACCCCAGCTTGCTCTCCATGAGACACACAGATAGGGAGAGAAGCTTGGGGTCAGAGCGCAGGGTCAGCCATTGTACAGCGCCCCTGGAGAAGTTGGGGTGAAGGGCCTTGCTCAGGGGCCCAACAAAGTAGGATTCCTCTGCCTGCTAACTGATCTTCCTGTACACGAAGACCTGAGGTGTTTAATGCCGATCCTTGACCCAGGAAAAAATAAATAGTTGTGCTGTATTATATTTAAAAATGGTTACACTTTATGTCTTAATTAACTTCCCGTATTGGAAATATTTTCTCCAAATACAACCCTAGCAAAGCTCTGAAGGCTCTATGCTCTCGCATGAAATTTGATTATTGTTTACAGTTAAAATAAACTCCTGCTAATTTGCCAATAAATACCTGCGAATACTAACAAACCTATATTTAAGTGATCAATATAACTGAGTTTCCCTTTTCCAATGCCATTGAGCACCCTGCTGGGTTATACCTTTAAACATTAAGAAAGATCTTTTAAAAATGAAGAGAAATTAACAAATCGATGTTCAATCCTACCTCTTTTGCCTTGGCTTAATTCCACACTGTTTTACTGTCTTGTTTTAGGCGACAAACCATGTTACTCGTGTTTTCCAGTATGATATGAGTAGGAGGCGTGTGGCTCTGTTACTGTGCATCAAGAAGGACAGACCAGGAGCTGAGAAAGACCTATTAGTAATGAGGAGCCTGTTCAAAATCCACAAGTTTCAAGTGACAGAAATGATAGACCTCAAACAGCAGGTGAGTCAGATTATTGCACTAGAAGTTCAATCATTTCTGCTGCATCCAAGGTGCTTGTTCCTTCTTCGCAGCCCATCTTTTATTTTACTCTAATTTCAACTTTATAATTCAAAATACATTTCAGTTTATTTTCATTTCAATCTGCTTCACTTAGAAAAGCAGTTTGGCTGATGCGTCCTGAGCGTGGCATCATCCCTGGGACAAAGCTATTCAGGTCTTGAGTATCTCTTGGCTTACAAAAGACCGGATACTAATATGATCAGTTTTATAACCACAGAAGTTCTCAATTTCCACATAAACCAGTCCAGCAATTGATTTGATTGAAAGGCAGATGACATCACGTCTCAGAGGAGGTCTAGATTAGAAAGACAAAACCCCAGGAAAACATTTGGTGGTTTCATAATTTCTTTTGACTTGTCAAAGCTTGCTCTGCTTGCTGCTTGCTCTCCTTGTGAATGCAAACGGCTTTTCTGACTTATTGTAGAGTAGCTACGCAGATCAACCCAAGAGAAAAAGAAGGATTAGTATACCCAAATTTCCCACTGATTTCAGGAAGTCATTCCCAAAATTACGGAATTCCGAGATGGGCTAAATGGGAGCAGTGAAGACCTCAGCTGCTGTTGGGTTGTAATCATGGCTCATGGGAGGTTTGGGAATATCGTTGCCGCTGATGGAAAATCAGTGAAGCTGGAGGACATTTTTAAGCTTTTTAACAACCGTCAGTGTCCTGGACTGCGCCAGAAACCCAGAGCCTTCACTGTGCAAGCCTGCAGGGGAGGTAGGTTTGTACACAGTAAACGGTTAATAAGACCTTGAAGCAAGCAAACCTGAATTGGAAAATAAACTGTCTGTGGAACATAAATATTCAAACCAGTGCAGTGGTCGAAGTGTTTTAAACTCCTTATTAATAGACTTTAATATTCTGTAAGTTTAGTTTTGAATGCCGCATTCCAATTATCCTGCATTCAAACACAGCAGTTCAACAAAAGGTAATTCACTGTTTAAACATGGATCTAAGCAGACCTGGAACAAGGGAGCGGTATTGATAAATTAATTTACTGATAAACTTATAAACTTAGAATTAAACATTGACCAGTGCCCGATCTCCCGGAATACAAACTGTGAGCCCTTTGATTATCTTTTCTTTTAAATACATTTTAATTCGGAGTAATAGAATTTGATAATTTAGATGGAATATTTTTAATATGGTGATTGTTATTTGCAAATATCATAATCAATCAATCAATTGTAAATAAAAAAGTGAGGGTAAGAGCCTTTTATTACTGTTTGATTCAGTCCACAACTGTAAATATTAGGAAACATTCATTTTTCTAGTTTCTTAATGTATATTTACGTTTCAGTGTTTCAAATCTTTACTTTTTCTAAACCGTAATTAAATCTTATCAAATACTTTTTGTTTTGTTGTGGATAACACTTAAACATTCACATGAACATTTAAATTAATGTTTTGTTTATCTCATACATTTACAAAACACTGATCAAATGGACACATTTAACCGATGGGTGACTCAGAAAGATTTGCCAGATTATTGGTCAGTTCTCCTCGTTATTTTAATTTTAGTTTACAAGTCTTCCATCCGTAGCCAAACAGATGCTGCAGATGTCAAAGTTGAAGAAGATAATGTGCGCATGCCTTCAGACAGTGATACCCTCTTTGTGTATGCAACACCCCCAGGTAGGAGCCAAAAGACATTAACCTCTTCTCCACACCTTTGCCTGGAATTGTATTTATTTTAAAACATTGGATATTGGACTACATTCTAAGTGATGCAACTGGGCTGAGCGCTGGCTCTGTGGCTGAGGATCTGTGCCTGTGGCTGGAAGGTTGCTGGTTCGTATCCCATGGCCGGCAGAGGAATCCTACTCCGTTGGGCTCCTGAGCGAGGCCCTTAACCCCAACTGCTCCAGGGGTGCCGTATAAATGGCTGACCCTGCGCTCTGACCCCAAGCTTCTCTCCCTGTCTGTGTCTCATGGAGAGCAAGCTGGGGTATGTGAAAAGACAAATTCCTAATGCAAGAAATTGTATAGGGCCAATAAAGTGATGTGTGATGGTTTGCCTTCAGATTAATGTAATTAAATCTATCCTCTGTAAAACAACAAACTGTGTTTTGAAACTCTTGGTTCCTGCTGCTGCTTGTGTTCAAAGGAAAGGTAGCCTATCGGAACCCACACTGTGGGTCACCCCTGTTTGTAGAGATGGAGAAAGTCTTCATGGAGCATGCGGCCACCTGCCACCTCTACGAGCTGTTTACGAAGGTGAGGGCGTTCATGAACCCCTGCTTCTCGGGGTTCCCCGTCACTGGATGTTGTCGTGCTCTTCAAAGGAGCTGCAAGCAGTTACATTTGCAGGAATCTTCAGAATATCCTCTCGTCTCTTCTAAATATGGGCATCAGCTCTGACCAGAGTGCTCTCCTGTCATACCAACCCCCCTCTATATTTGTCCTGTCATGGTCACCTGGCTGGTTGGCAGCGTCTTGGTTTAAAACCACCTGGTCCTCGTGAAGGTGAGTGGAGTGACAATGTTGGGGCTCAGAATCTGCTCAATTGACCAGATCCACTGAAATTGGGTCAAAGGAGGTTAAGAATGAGTGAGACCTACTTAACCTGGACGAGAGCGGCGATTCTCCTGGGGTAAACGAAGATGAAAGAGACTCTCTTAGCAACAGATGAAGAGGGGGTCTTTCTTGGAGACGGAGAGAGATGCTATTTTGTGGTGCTAATAAACTCCTAAACTGGCTCTGGTCTTGAGAGAGAGGGGAGAAAGTGAGGCAGAGCTCTAAGTGAGACATGTTTTGATTGGCTCTATTTTTTCCCCTTCACTGTAGAATAAAACAGTTTTTATACTCAGTAGCCAATCTGTGTATCTTTTGCGAAACTCACCTGCTCTTAAAGGGCCCACACAGTGGCACGGCATTCACAGTGAAGGCAGCAGAAGATATATTTCAGCCTTTTCTTGTGTGGACTCTGTGTTACTCTGCAAGAAGTCCTTGTGTCCTTCTACTCTCCTCTCCCTCTTAACGAGCCCGCAGATAAAGCGTTTCATCGCCGACAGCCCCGCTGTAGGCTGTACTGTTCGTGCGTTGATACAAAAACCTTGATCGAGCATTGAGCTGATAGCGAAACTAGTTTGACCAAATTTCATGATTGTGCCGCAGGTCAACAAAAGCCTGGATGATGTGGATTTGAAAGACATCCAGGACGACAAATCGGCCACGGTGACAGTAAACGCACCCATCGCCAGAAGCTTGCCTTCAAAGCAAACTGATGACAGTGTCCTGCGCTACAGACCAAAACCTCAGGGGTTACTAAATGCGAAGATGCCTGTGGTCACATCCATGGCAAGAACCAACGAACCACAAGAGGCCAAGATGGTCGATAGAGCTGATGGAAGACTGACCTTGCACATTCAGTCTACCCTGACCAAAAAGTGGTACCTGAAGTGAATTAACCTTTACTGCTCCCAGGGAAATTTGTCTTGCACATCAGGAGCTTGTAACGTACAATGTGATGAAATCATGCTTTTCTGCGCTTACATAATGTTTGTTATGTATGTTGTGTAGATTTTAATTACTTAATAATTAATAATAATTGCTTACGCTTATAAAGCACTTTTCTGGACACTCCACTCAATAATGGGGATCCCCTCCACCACCACCACCAGTGTGCTGCCCCACCAGGATGATGCTCCACACACCAGCTCTCAGAGGGGAGGAGAGCAGATTAGGAATATAAATATAGAAAATATTAAGAATCTAAATATATAAAATTTACAGTTTTATGTAAAATGCCATGAGAATGCTTTGTATAGAATGTTGGTATATGAGAATACAACTGATTGATAGATCAGTTGTATTCATTCTTTGATTTGGTATTCAAGTAGTTGCTCTTCAGATATATTTGATGCAGAGGGAGGTGCAGAGCACAGCAGTTACGACTGCTGCCTCATAGCACTGAGGCCCTGGATTCATTTCCTGGGGTGCTGTGTGGAGTTTGCATGCTCTGCCCTTGTTCTCATGGGTTCGGTTCCTGAGGTTCTGTCTGGGTGGAGTTTGCATACTCTGGCCAAGTTTGCTTGGGTTTCCTCCTGCAGTGCACAGACATGCCGGTAGGTTAATGGATTCTGGGGAAAATGGCGCTGGTGTGAGTGTAAGTCTTTCTGCCCTGTGATGGACTGGCGTCCTGTGACCCTGCACTGGATAAAGCAATTGGAAAATGGGTGGATGAATGAATTTGATCAATAATATAATTAAACACCCTCTCCCTGAGTTTTAACTCATGTGAAGTTGGCTTTATGTAAAAACTTCCTTTGGGGTCTCACAATAACATTTTAGAGATACAGAATTGCATACGTTCTTCACACACATGCAACGCTGTTTTACACGCCATCTCTCTCTGTTTTTACACGTGTGGGGCAAAATGTGCATATTACCTCACTTGTGTAATCTGCATTGCAATATGCCTGTAAAGCACTCCATTATTATTAATCTAATTGCCTAATTTAATAAAATAATCTAAAATAACAGATAATGCTCTATCTCCAATGTTTCATTTATTTACTGTGTTTTATATTTTAATCGTAAGCTATGTTTGATTATTCTAATTATAGGATTATAAAGTGTTATAAAATAATTTTCCTAGCCTGTTACATTTAACAGTACTGATGTTGCCAAACCAACAAATGGGACAGTATGTTAGGATGGACAGGACATCTGGAAGCTACAGGACCAGGACTGTCACTTCAATCGGATACATTTGTGCCATTATTTCAGCTTCCTTTGGCTACAGAGAAAATTCCCGGAACAACTTGCACATCAACAGACTGACTATAGCTGGCCATTAACAAAACAACATGAGATAAGATCACTTTATTGGCCATATACAATTTCTTGTGTGAGGAATTGGTCTTTTCGCATACCTCAACTTGCTCTCTGTGAGACACACAGACAGGGAGAGAAGCTGGGGGTCAGAGCGCAGGGTCAGCCATTTATACGGCACCCCTGGAGCAGTTGGGGTTAAGGGCCTCGCTCAGGGGCCCAACGGAGTAGGATTCCTCTGCCGGCCACGGGATACAAACTGGCAGCCTTCCAGCCACAGGGGCAGATCCAGAGCCACAGAGCCACTGCTCCACCCCAAACAGATGAATATCTGTGAGGTTCATCCATGGATAACATGCCGACAGCTGAAAGATTTAATCTCAAATTCAATGGGCCGTAGAACATCTGAGATGGCAAAGGAGAGTGCTGGAGTGTTTTATTCACTGAATCAATTATTTTTTTTGCCACATGGCAGAGGTGTGAACACAATGCTGACTCTTGTGTATTGTCATGTTGGTATCACAATGGGTAAGAATCATCCTTAATGCAGGCTAATGGCAATTCTACCTGCTCAGTGATATATTGATAAAGGCCTTTGTTCAACAGTTTTTGTATTCCTGCAACCCTTTAAGATAGTATTGATTTTCCAACAGGGCAGTGCGAGACCAGCTAGGCCAAGGATTACAATGGCATAAGTTTAAGAAAACAGTCTTGAGGTCCTTCCATTAACAGGGATTTCTTCTTACCCTAGACCAATAAATAATATTTGGGACCAACTCAACAGTAAGCTCGACAGGATACAATGCTGACTCCCTAGCCTTCACCAGTCTGTTGTAGCAGCCCACAGCAGTCTGACCAGAAGCTGATCAGGTCTGTGCATCAATGCAGTGTTAATGATCAAAGAGCTCATTAGAGTACTACAGTTGATCTCATTATACAAGTAAGAACAAGATTGATGTAAAATATAACAAAGCAAAAAAAAGACCATTTCAAACATAGATTTATTTTCCAGATAAACTGAAGAAAACAGGAAAAAAAAAGATCGAAAACTTATAGTATGAGACATGATACACTGCTAAAATGAAACCATGACAAAGTTACTCAATTAAGGTCCACCAACGTTAACGGAATCAATCTTTGTAAAATGGTTCCTAAAATACATACAGTACTCACAGTTCAATTACCTCATTCAGATTAAATGAAGATAAATTATTTTTCTTCCAATAACCTTTTTGGGGATATAGTATTTGTTTATCAGAGTATTTTAAAAAACAGATTTGCCGTTTGATGGAGGGATCACGGGATCGAGTTTGTCTGAACCCTCTCATTGATTGTGGGGTAAGATACGTATCAGCTACAACCACTTTGAAGGGGCAGAGGATCAGACGTTGCAAAGAAGTGCTTGTTACCCTGATTCGTATCTACACAGGCTTTCCGCTGTCCTCACCCTTTGTTCAGAAACTCTGAACCTGCCTTTCTACCTACACAGGTGAACTGAATTAAAACAGGTGCACCAGAAGAGATCAGCTGTGGAAAAGACATAAATTCATATCCTACAGCCTATGCCCCAAGAATCAAAGAAATGTCAGAGAATCTTTTTTTGGAAGTGGTTTCACAGCACCTAAAAGCTCCAAGAAGCCACAGGAAGGATTAGCAGCACTCGAGCAGAGTGTGTGTCGTCAAGATTTAATGCGTCAAAACGAAAGTCACTTTTTATAAAAGAACTTGTTTTTTACAGGTTTTTTCTCGGCTCTGCTGCAGTGACACCGCAGCTAGTGGGAGCTGGCGGAGACCCAACTGCGTTCCTGGAGATTTCCAGCGGTGAACGACGAGGCGGAGGGGCGCCGGAGACGGCGGAGGAAGAGGAACCGAGGCGGACAGGGCTCAAGCTGTGGGGAACAGCGGCCGGAGACCCCGCCGGAGTTCTGGGTCCGGACTGGCTTCGGCGCTCCTGGGAGAGGAAGGCTCCCAGGTCAGGGCTTTCCGGATCTGTCTTTCTGGCTGCGGGCTGAGCCTCTTCACGGGACGGTCCTGGACTCGCACTGCTGTCAGAGCGCCGTTCCCGCGGCTGTGCGGGGCGTTCCGAGACCCCCGGGACGGATGCGATCACTCATGTGATCCTGCCTCCGTGTCCCGGGGAAGCGGTGACGGCAGGAACGTAACTCCATCTCTCCATGTTGTCGCAACCCAGTAATAGAGACTGTCCTGCCCTTGGGGTGCATTCCCTCTGTCAGCGTCCCGAGAGGAGGCAAGGGTTCTGCTCTTTCAGAGTATCCCTCCTCAAGGGAAGCTCTTTACTGGGGTTCCCGAGGGATGACAACGAGCCCCCCCCCCTCCTGCTGCCCCTCTCCCCTCTCTCCCAGTGCAGCTGGATCTCACCTACATGCTCAATAAAAGCTCCTTCAGTGCATCCAGCTCTTTGGATATGGTTCTTCCTCATGAACTCGGAATCGAACATGTTTTTCAACAGGCACCAGCAGTTCCTGAGGGATTCAAGTCTTTAAAGCATAGCCAGAAATTTCCCTTTGGGGTCAATAAAGTCTTATCTGTCTATCATAAAAGCTGACTTTATGGATTCGTCACTACGCACGAAGAATAAAGAAAGGCACTAACATGGTATTGCTGAACAGAAGGTCAGGGGGAGGTCAAATTCGAACCCTGAGCACCTCGGCTTCCCCGTGCAGGAGAAGCTCCGTGACAACGCTTCTGGCGCCCCCCTCTGCCCCTGCAGCGCTACTGCAGCTCTCTCCCCATACCTCATGAGTGGAGGGGGGCGGGGGGGCGCTGATCTCCGGCCAGCGCTGTCACTTCCTCTGCCGAATTATATCCCATGAGCTTGAGATGGTAGAACTCAGACTTGGCTGTGGTTTGAAGTCCGTGCATGTGTTGCTCTTTGGCGTTTCAAGTAAAGCAGTTTTTTGAGGGTCGACTCCATTGCTATCGTCACCTTTGCTATTTCATATTCTTTCCCTTTACTGCCTCTGTCTTTCAAGACGTGGAAGTCTTGCTGGACCATCCGTTCATTCACCTGTGGGATCAGCAGAGAAACTCAGACCATTAGACCACCAGCAGAACATCGCTGGATACTGGACGAGGGGCTTAGGGCCGACGGATTCATACCTTCACAAACAAGTCATAAAGATGATCTCTGTCAGCATGTTTCCGAAATACTTCTTCCAGAAAGGTGAACAGATGTGATCCGTGTTCTCTGCTTCTTAAGGCAACATAACCTGTCAAAGCAAGTCCAGTCAGTAGGGAAACAGAAACTCATAAACATGGGGAAATATTTACCCTTTTAAAAAAATGTTTTAAGCTGTTACGGGACACCTCATACTGCTATTATATGGAAATGTCCGAGAGGAAAAAGTGAGATGTTCAGAACTAAGTCTGAAGTTAACTGTATCTCATCTGTTAGTGTTATTCCAATGCAATAATAATTCTATTTAATGGTTTTGTTACTACTGTTGCGATGAAACTATTTGCCCATCATGGCTGTTCTCATGCTTGCACCTGTTGTAAAGTGACCTACCTGGCTGGGTGGCGAACACAGTGAACATATCATTGATGGCTGCTGGTGTGAATGAATCGGGCAGTTCCACTGCTCCTCCAGAATGTGGTTCGTCCTTAAGTTGGACTCCCAAATCTGTCACATCTAAAATAATTGAAAAAATAAATATTTATTCCTATGAAGTTAATGTCACGATCGTTACTCCTCCTCTTAAGGGCGCTCCAGCCCTTCCTCGTTCTGTCCCATTCCCCACACCTGTTCTTATTCCAGCCCCTCTTTAGTTCCACCTTTAAAGCCAGACGCAGGCGATTGCTCGGGGCTTCTCATTGAATCCCGTTTCGTGAGAGCCCGGGGTCCTGCTGCGTCTGGCTCCGTTATGGTTTTAGTTTCCTGTTCCTGATTCCCTGTCCCGCCGGTCCCGACCCGGTTCTGGTTTTTAGTTACTTTGGATGGATACCCTGGTCTTGGACTTTGCCTCCCGTTTTGGATTTCCCTTTTGGATTTATGCTTGGATTGTTTGCCCCGGACTCACTTCCCCTGGACACCTGCTCACCTCGGACACGCCCCCCTGTCTCCTGACCGACTCCTGCATGATATTTTTCCCTATTGTTTCTTCACCTTTCGGATCGCGTCGTCCGCATAGGGCCCGGAAAGAACTGTTTCCTGACAGTTAAATCAGTCGACCAAAGCTTGGCCAGTGTGTTCCCTGGATTCAGAATGTGGGGGAGAGGGGTTGGGACACTGCTTATCCACCTGGGGCATGCACCTTTCTGCTGGTGCTCCCCCTCTGGACACCCAGGAGTCTTCTTCATCCCTTCCGCGCAGTGCAGAAGCAACCTATTTTCCCCTTTAGTCTCCTCTTCCACTCTGCCACCCTCTTCTCTCAGCGTGAGACAGGTCTTTCAGGTCTGCTTCTGCCTCATTCAATGCACAGAAGACGGGCCACCATCTGTCTCTGGTGACAGGAGGTTCTCTTGTGACATCTTTCTCTCCTCAGGGAATCTTTGGGCTGCAAGTAGCATCTCCTTTGTCCAGTTAGAGTTGCCCTGCTCCTCATAGAGCCTTTGACACAGGATTTGTCCTTTGGCTTATTTTTATTTAATCGGTGAAGCTGCTCCTGTAGCTGCTTGACCGACTCCCTCCTCCGGAGCAGTACCCGGTGTGTGGTCTACAGTTCCACCGGGGTTTGACTCAGCTGAGACTCTAACTGCTTGAGCTCCATCCCTCTTGGTATCTTAACACCCATTCTATCCACCATCTGGCTCAGATGAGGTCAGACTCAAGCCAACTCCACACAACTTCTGGGCTTATAGCCTGGCTATCCTTAACTGACTCCTAATCTTTGACAAGCCCTTCACCTGCATTTCTGTTTCAGGTTCAGCTGACTTATTGGCTCCACAAACCAGCACCACACTCCTGCTAAGCATACTTTGAAGATGTGATGGCATCGCTGCTGAAATGCTGCTCAAAGAGACTTCATCAATCAAGAAAAGAACCACATCCTCTGATTGAGGAACTGTATTTTTCCTTAAAGAAATCTACCTGGGATGTTCATTTGTGATGTGAGTGAGCTGAAGGTTTCCCATGCTGACCACGCTATCTTGTATACACACAGTATATTTATCATCTTCAGATTTGTTCTCACTGATGCGAAATGATTTTCACCAACTCCGGTAAAATCTATCTTTACTTCAAATCACTCACAAACCATTCAGAAATTCTCCCTCTGTTGTCATGTCATTTTGTATTGTACCAGCAGTGTTAATTAATAAAATGGGAACACAAACTACAATGCTAAATATTCGAAATCTTGTCATTTAAACTGTAGCAAAAAAAGTATGTTATTTGTTATAGCTGAAAAAGAAAGAGTAACAAAAAGGATAAGGTTATCATTTAATTTCAATACCTCAAAAATGCATCTTACAGTAAATTATTATGCTGATGTGATATTTGTCAAGATAACAATTCTGGTCCCCTGACAAACACAATTTGGCAAAGACTTGTATATTTTACTTTTCCACACACATTCTGCAAGTACTTGATTCACATTCTAATTGAACTCAATGCAGACATTTTGTATTGTGAAAAGCAGCTGTCTTTCAGCTGAAGAGGATGTTGTGGTTTGATGACTGTCAAGAATGTACAGTATGAGGTAGGCACTACACACTGAAAATGTTGATTGAGTATATGATTTAGGTGTACACTAACCGTCAATAACTCTTCTTATTTTATCAGCTCATTCAGTCCCATGCTGTATGACATGTTATGTTTTACAGAACGAATCTTACTAGCAGACATTTCTAGACTCTGGACTTCTCATATCTTCACCCAAGCCATCACTTTTCACAGTCTGCTGAAGTAGAGAAATGTGCCATTGGAACAGAACTCTTATCCAAAAAAAAAAACACTGGTTTGTTTAAAATGATTATTCTTGAAGACATACCTCCTCTGCAGGCTTGAACGATGAAGACTTTAGGTTTCTTCCGAAGCTTAGGGCACTTGTCATTGTCAAAGAGCTTGATTATGCCATTCAGTTTCACTTTCTCTTCATCGCTGCCCACAATGATGCCAAGATTTCCATGACTGGCCGTGACAACAAAGCAGCAGCTGATGTCTTCCAGGGAGCTGCTGATCCTGTCTCTGAACCGCTGGACAGCCTCCTCGATTTCCTTCAGCAGAAACAAACTCACAGCTATAGGGATTATCCAAACCCGATTTTATACAAAGATGCAAAGTCCGCTGATAAGCACACTGCGCACTGCCACAAATATTTTCGCAGTTCAGGTTTTCACTTTCAGATTTGCAGGCTTGTGAGAATGAGAAACTGTTGAGCTCATGACATTAAATAATGGCGTATATGGAAGTTCCTAACTGACGTTCAGGAGGGATGATGACAGCCAAGCCTCTTGTGCTCCAGCTGTTAAAAATCCTCATCACTGCTGATGACATCTCTCCACTGGTGTGTATATATATAACTGATGCTCCCAGTGATGGACTTACCTTGGCTGTAGGGTTGATCTCAATGGTATAATCAAACCCATACGACTGGAACAGGCTCCTCATTATTCGAATGTCATTCAAGGCTCCTTCCCTCCTGTTAAGGACGCACAGCATGAGAGCCAGGCGTTTTCCACTCATTTCATATTTGTGCGGGTCAGAGGAGACCAGCGGGTGCCCCCCCTGCAACACAGGTACGGCACCATTAGAAACCAGTGCAGGTTTCACAGGGACGCACGAGTGCACAATTCTTCACTGAATCGTGTCTTGTCCACATGGCCTAGCTGTCACCCCTACAGCTAGGCAGGCTGAAGTAAAAGTAAAGACATGCTGCACACCAATCCAGAAGCCGTTATTTCTTAGATCCCATCTCTGAAGCACATTCTGTAAAGGATTTCCTTCAGCAAAGACTTAGATCAACAGAAAAAGGGTCTCACACTTCTCTGAACTTCTCTTTTAAGCTGTCGCCTGAACAACTGTTGTCTAGCAACTGGTCAGGTGACTGAGAGTGACAGGGCCTTCTGGGAAATGTGCTTGTGGTCCGAGACTGCAGTTCCCTCACAGTTACTGAAATACTTTGTTGGATCTGCAGGTTATTTGGAAAGAGATAACAATGGAACTCTTCAAAACTCCAAGTAGATTATACATAAGCCTTAAATACTGAGCTCTAAATAGCTTTGAAATGCTTCGATGTAATCTGAAATGGCATATAATGGAGTTTGTAACAAACATTTGGGAGGGATGACAACAGCCAGGTTCAATCAGACTCAGCTGGCAGTAGTGTGCAATCACCCCTGAACTTTCCTGATGGGTCCTCACCAGAAACACTAAAAATACCGGGCGAGATCCCCTTCTCTTGTATACAACATCAGTTGTGGAAACTCCCTGCTGCTGGCAGCATGTTCTGAGGGCTTTGTGCCTTCTGCTTGGGGGATTGGAGGGATCCTGAGAACAAAACAGCTCGTTTCTCTGCATAACACTGACTTTTCTCTGCCGCCTGCCACAAGTGTTAGTCAAGAGTGTGAAACCATCAGAACAAAAAATATGAGAATACATGACTAACAAAACCAAAGTAAAATTTTCTTAGGTCCAAATATATGTTTGCATTTTCCTGACAAAATATTGTTCACCCAGTAAATTTATTAATAGAGCTTTTTAGATAAATGAAAGCTCTGTCGTAGTGTGTAGTGATCACTTGAACACAGCGGATAAAAAAGTGGCTAGAGATATTTACAGGAAAACGTTTCAAGTAGAAGAATGCCCGTGAACCTCTGATCGCTTAGCTGCTTCTGCAGGGGCTATGACTTCTGATCGTGTTTGAAGAGTGTGGAGATGTACTGGTTTCATAAATAAAACAAGCATCTCGTGTCGAAGTGGAAAAAACCCCGAGGAAGGAGATTTGTGCTACACCGTTCCTATTGGTACAGCGTGTTGTTTTTAGTTTATTGACCTACACTAATGCGACACCGGCTCCCACACCTATTCGAGTTAGGCAGACCTCCTTTCGTCTAAAACCTTTATTCCGTCTGAAGTCGAAAAGATTTACCAGGACACGTGAATAAAGTACTTACTTGCGATGAATTATAAGACTGACCAATGGCCATCTTGGATAGTTGTTTTGCACATATTGCTGAAGACTTATCTGCCAGAGCTCGTGATTTTATGTAGGTGTACTTTGACTTTAAAATCGGTATGATAGGAGTCTCGTAATGTTTCAAGCGGTCGCAGCAGATTTCCAGTAGCTTACACCGTTCCATGCACAGTTCCGCCAGTTCAGTCTCCAGGTCCGCAGACTCTCCTTCAGGCGTCTCTGGATTCAGTTTTGTCCGAAGGGAAGTGTATTCTTCTTTCAGGACGGAAGATTCATTTAGCAGACACTTGGTCCACTGTACATCATCGCCATTCCGTCTCCTTCTTTGCAGCTTTTCTAGTGTTTGACTCAGGAGAATCTCACCCTCGTCCATTATTTTCCATCTGACGTCTGTCCTTTCACTGTTCAGTAAAATTTCCCACTTTGATCTGATTTCTTGTTTGTCCTGCGCCGAACCCATTGAATCCAATTCCGCAGCAAGTGCAAGAGACGGGAATCAGTTCAGTATTCAAATCGGCTTTCAGGCGCCGGAAGAAAAGCACTTCGCCTGGCAAAGCCGGCGGGTGGCGGAAGAACCGGCGCATCTAGCAGCCTCGTCAGTGCTCAGAAAAGGCGTGTCATTTCTAGGAACCGAAATGCGAGTATGGTGCTTCCCCCCTTCATTAAAAGCTCACACGTTTGAGGTTGTTTTTGCATTTCTTTTAAATCTGTTTCAATCTCCTTATTTGCTATTTCAACCCTGATCGCTTTATCCTTGGTCATTTTTTTTATTATAGCATTTTCACCTGTACTGTTAATTTCACCTGTCTTCTGTTTCCTTTTTGAACGCTTTGGGTCCATTAATATGGAAGGACCTCTGTAAATGAATGAAGCAAATGTTTTAAAGAGTGCCACAAATCTGATCTTAAACACACTCTGCTGATAGAGATCAGTAGTTCGGGTGGGGAGCTGCGTCAGCAGGCGTGGGCTGCAAAGGAACAAGTAACAGGTTTATTCCCTGCTGAAAAGAGAAGAGAGAAAACACAACGTTTCGGCCGTGGAGCCTTCTTCATGAAGTGGCATGTCCAGAAGAGCGCTATATAACTGTTAGCAATTATTATTATGATTATTAGTCAAGCTGGACCGCAGTTCTGTCACAGCCTACACGAACCAGCAGTGCAGACTCCTCTCCATCGCCTGGTGTACGAGCAGATGGGTCAGAGATGAGAGGAGGAGGAGGCTGTTCGGCCCATCTGGCCTGTTTGGTAGTTAGTAGCTAATTAATCCGATCTTCTTCCCCAGCTGTTTCTTGAAAGATGTCAGGGTATCAGCTTCAACAGCATAGCGGGGCAGCCCGTTCCACACTCCCACCACCCTTTGCGTAAAGATGCCCGCTTCTCTGTTGCAGAGGCAGTTCCAAGCTCTTCCAGTCTCCTGCCTGTGGCAGGTTCTGTCGGCTCAGGACATGTCCGGGAGGCAGTACTTTCTGAGGACTGCAGAGTGCTTTTGAAATGGCTGTGCCAAAGGAATTGAAGCAGGTGGTGCAGCAATCTCCTTGATAAGTAATCAAGAAAGGTTACATTTGAGAAAAGACCATCTCCCTTTGTGAAAGAAACCAGCATATCAGCTGCAACGAGTAGCTTGTTCCACACCCCCACAACCCTCTGTGTAAAGAAGTGCATGTTTCACTGTCTATCCTGAAGAAAACGTCTAGGTTGACTTTGTCCATGCCTATACTGTGTTCACTTGGTTTGAAAGAGCCATCCAGGTTAATTACTGTCTCTTACAGTTGCACAGTTGAGAAAATAATAAATGTCAAGGCTCTGTGCGATAAAACAAACCAAATAACCAGATTTACACATAGTAGAAAATTAAACAAGATTAAAGGCTGCAGTATGACATTGTTCAGAGTTCCCCATTCCCCAGCACTGGAGTAACAGAACAGAGAGTGCTCTCTTCCAGTGTTCAGAATCTTGTATTGGGAACTGAAGGAAAGACAGAGTCTGAAGAGAGTGTGTAAGCATATAGGAGGATAATAAGGCACTGATGTGTTCAGCAGCCAAACTGCTCAGCTCCTTAAATATGAGCAGCACTGTCTTGATTTTATATACTTTAATCCACAGGGAGCCAGTGCAAATAAGCGAAAATGGGTGATTTATGCTAATCTATTTTAATTGTGGTTAAAATCTGAGCCACAATGTCCTGTAAGTATGCTGTAATTTGTCAAGACTGTGTTTGGCTTAGAGATTGCACAGACTGAGGGGTACACCCAGTGTTACAAAGATGAAAAAAGAGAAATTTTCACAATGCTGTGAATGTCAGCCTCAGTACAGTACTTGGTTTATAAATGACCTCTAGACTCCTCGCGTCAGTACTTGGGATTGATTCCTGTACCAGCAAAAGCCAAAACAAGGCCGACAAATTTGCAGAGTTGATAAGGAGAGCCAAGCCACACAACATCGATCTTGGCAGAGTAATAAAGTAAAATATTTTGTTGCATCCATTTTTATCATCGTGCAAGCAGTGTAAATTGGTTGTTAAAATGAATTGATGTCCAATCATTTTTAAAGTGCTCCCTGTGCCTGTGCTTCCAGGACCAGACTCTGGGATGTTGCCAGGAATATTTCAGGGAATGGCTGGGTAGATGTCTCAGGGCAGTTAACTAATATCTTCACTATCTGCGTCCCCCAGACGAAGGGCAATTTCAGTTCAATGCAATGATGGCATTTGTCCAGCAGAGGACGCTATTGAACAAGGAAGGTTTTTTTTCTCTTCTCATTCATTGCCAAACTGTACTCGGAACGCGTTGCAGAATATAGAGGAATATAGAGAAGGGAGTTGCTCCCAATGAAAGAGGGATCTCCTGACACAGGGTCCTGGCGTCTCTATCAGGCTGCAGCAGGATAAGAATATCGCCTGTCTTTCTGGATCACAAGCCACATGCCATCCTAGCATAAGCACGGGCAAATAAATGAAGGATCTGATGAGTTTGTAATTGCTCGTTAATCTTCTTTATGTAGTGTGGTTGCATCCCTTGAGACTGCTTTCATATTACAGATGCAGAACTCCTTTTGGTCTGGGTAGCCCCCTGAGGACTTCCACCTGTCAGTGCATGAAGTTCCTGCCAGCAACCTTGAATTTCAGCCTGGTGTTACCCTGATGAAGTCTGGGTCACAAGATCAGGACGAGATTGAGACCACCTGACATGACTTGAACAAGACCGTTCAGTTCATTGTTATATATTTTTATTCAGGGCCCCACACACGCTGGGAAAGAGCCAGGACATGTCAGACTGCGGACTGGCGGTGAGGTAGACCTACAGTGCGAAGCACAGCCAGGCTCTGGGGTGTTTTGTGAGTACGTCACCAAATCACGGAGGCTGCCTGGTACCCCTGTTCTGCAGTGGCAGCAAGGTTTCTGAATAAGTGGGTCCAGGGACGACAGCGATGTATAATAGGATCTATATGTTAAATGACAGAGGAATTATTTAACAGCTTCACACCCACACAGACACCTACACACACCCACGCTGCAGCTCTGCTGCACAAGACTGGGTACCTCAGCAGAAGAGACAGACTGATAACACTACTCCTGCGCACCCATGAACCGTGCACACTCACACACACACATGAAGCGTGCACACTCACACACACACACACATGAAGCGTGCACACTCACACACACACACATGAAGCGTGCACACTCACACACACACAGCATGCACACTCACACACACACATGAAGCGTGCACACTCACACACACACACAAAGCGTGCACACTCCCACACACACACACGAAGCGTGCACTCTCACACACACACACACACACATGAAGCGTGCACACTCTCACACACACACGCACGCGCGCGAAGTGTGCACTCTCACAGACACACTCACATGCTCACACGCGGGCGTGCTCGGAGGGCTGCAGCCGGAGCCACCCTTCTCCGGCTTTGACACAGGCAGTAATTTCACCGCTGTTACGGCTGCTAATTGCTTTCTATTAATTACAGTTCTAAAAGGTCGCTGCTGGCTGAGAACGAAGGGGGATTTTGCAAGGAGCTAGGAGAGGATAAAAACGATAAAATAAAAGGCCCTTTCCTCTTTAGTTTTGTGAGCCGAAGAGGAGACGGCTGCTTGTCAGAGCCTTCTAAGGAACAGGGAGATTCTCAGCTCCGTGAACCCCTGTCAGAATCTCGAGAGGAGAACCTGCGAGCATCAGGGGTGCAGGAGAGCACAGGGAAATCAAGAAAACAGTCTGCTGAAGTGAAGACAGCGCTAGATTACCCTGCGCATCGCCGCAGTAGTGTGTCCATGGCACTGCAGTGTTGTTAAACCACAGACAATCACTGTGTTCAGGATGTGTGTCCCTGCCACCGTGTGCATCCACACTGACTGCAGACTCAATCAGAACTGGGAAAAAATACTTACACCAGCAAGTGTTTTCACAGCTGTGTCACCCAATATCTTTAACTCCTCTCTCGGCTCTACCCACTGTCCCAAACTGCCTCCCTCTCTCTCAGCTCTATCCACTGTCCCACACTGCCTCTCTCTCTCTCTCTCAGCTCTACCCACTGTCCCACACTGCCTCCCTCTCTCTCAGCTCTACCCACTGTCTCACACTGCCTCCCTCCCTCTCTCTCTCAGCTCTACCCACTGTCCCACACTGCCTCTCTCTCTCTCTCAGCTCTACCCACTGTCCCACACTGCCTCCCTCTCTCTCTCAGCTCTAACTACAGGCTCAGACCACCTCTCTCTCTGTGTTCTTACTTCCTCCAATCCCTTGTTTCTTGCCAGTAGCCCACAGCCCTCCCTCCCCCTCTCGCTGTAGCTAGAGAGGAGTGTAGGCACTGTGCACATTTGTTTAAATCGTCCTTGCTAGTGAGTCATGCTTACCCATATTTACCCATGTAAATTTCTGACCTCTACCGCAGTGCTGATGGCTGAATGCTACAGGGCTGGGGAACGGTAGATCTTCTGTATGTTCCTACACAAAGACATACTAGAGGAATATTGTGCACTGACATCCTTTCCATATCCTGTTCCAGCCGCCTAATGGGATTGCCTGGTGTTCTTCATCGTATGAAACTAAACCTGCGTGACTGTGTCAGTCAGCCCCTGCGTGCTGTAAAACTATACCTCATGTAACTCAAGTTGGTCTCTCTCTCACACACACGGCAGTGGACAAAGGCAGCAGAAGAAGGGACAGAGACACCGCAAAGAAATTTAAAGGGGCCAGCACTCTGAGAAACCACCCAATACCTTCTGACACAGTGTTCCTTTTCTTCAATGGCGCTCAATAGAAACGCACAGTAAACCACTCTCACACTGCCCAGAGGAGAAGCCTGGAGAACAAAACTTCTCAGCGCAGCCCAGCTGTGCCTGTGGCAGTGTGGTCAGCTTCTCTAAGTGGTCATCAGTGGTGCAGGTCAGCCCCTCAGTCCCTTCAGCACTGTTCTTTTGTGTGCAGGGTTTATTAAGCAGCAGGTCAGTCACCTTGCATCACTGAGCTTCAGGCCCTGTCTGTCAAGCTACCCCTGACAAGCTACAGTCTGCCTGACTGTAATATATCCCAGTCCCCCTGTTTGACAGACTCCAGAAAGCAG